TGGTGTGGCGCTGTGGATTAATGCTCCAGACTGCAGAGTCATTTGAACTGCAAGGTCAGCGGTTCAAACTCACCAGCTGCTCCTTGGAAACCTTCTACAGGGTCACTATGGGTCGGAATCGACTCGATGGCACTTAACAACAAGATAAGTGTGGTGCTGTGAATCAGCACTGGACTGTGGATCACAAAGTCAGCAGCTCAAGCCTACCAGCTGTTCCTTGGAAGCCCTATACAGGGTTTCTGTGAGTAGGAACAGTCTTGATGGCACTTAACAAGATAAGTGCATCTAAAATTCAACCTCTTTTGAATATTTTGTTACTCTTTGGGTGAATTTTTGTATTTCATCTTTTAAAAGTAGGATAAATGTATTTATCGCTAATTTGGAATTTATAATACATTCATAAAAATAGTTAGATTTTGATTTATTAGTTAGTTTAAATTTTTTTCTTGGCTAGTTGTTGTCTACTGTGAAATACTTTATTTTAAAATTCTTACATAAATATACAATTACACAGAATAGAGTGATACAATCATTAATGTAATAAACTATGGATCTTAAGTAATAAAATATTTGTGTATGTTTTAAGAATATATTTCATTTTCAGTCTACCTAGAAAGCACATTGCCAGAGAATATCTGCTGTTATTTTGTACATTTCAACAAGATTTCTGAGACAGAATTCTGCAATTCTTCATTTGCATTTGAAAGATTCATTGTTCCAAGTTAGTAGTCATTCTCCAAAATTATTAATCTGAATTTCTGTCAGGATGTGATCATCATTACCTCTGCTAAGAATTCTAGACTTGGATTGTCATCTGTTGGATTGTGACTTCATAGTTTATGTACTATGTCTATAAAAACAATATACTTATATGCTCCATTACTGAAATGAAAAGGCAAAACCAGAGCTCTGTAGTTGAATTCGTCCTCTTGGGTTTTTCTAATTTTCCTGAACTCCAGGAGCTGATCTTTGGGGTTTTCTTGGTTATTTATCTGGTGACACTTATGGGAAATATGATCATTATTAGTGTCATCTTCCTGGACCAGAGCCTTCAGGTTCCCATGTACCTGTTCCTTCAGAACTTATCCATAGTGGAAGTGAGTTTCAGTGCAGTTATTATGCCTAAAATGCTGGTGGTTCTTTCCTCGGATAAAGCGACTATTTCTTTTGCTGGCTGTTTTGCACAGATGTATTTCATTCTTCTTTTTGGTGGGACTGAATGCTTTCTTCTGGGGGCAATGGCTTTTGACCGGTTTGTTGCAATCTGCTATCCTCTTAACTATCCAATGATTATGACCAAAATGCTCTTTATGAAGTTAGTAATGTTCTCATGGATTTCATGGATCCTGGAGGCTACTGTACAAACCACATGGGTATTTAGTTTCCCCTTTTGTGGTTCCAATGAAATTAATCATCTTTCCTGTGAAACTCCCCCAGTGCTAGAGCTTGCATGTGCAGACACCTCATTCTTTGAAATCTATGAATTCACAGGCACCATTTTAATTGTTATGGTTCCTTTCCTGCTGATACTCTTGTCCTACATTCGAATTATCTTTGCCATCCTGAAGATGCCATCCACCACTGGGAGACAAAAGGCCTTTTCCACCTGTGCCTCCCATCTCACATCTGTGATCCTGTTCTATGGCACAGCCAATATGACGTATTTACAACCCAAATCTGGCTACTCCCCAGAAACCAAGAAACTGATGTCACTGTCTTATACTTTGCTCACTCCTCTGCTGAATCCACTGATCTACAGTTTGAGAAACAATGAGATGAAAAAAGCCTTGATGAAACAGTGGCGAAGAAAAGTGATTTCACGTACAGTGTGACCATCTCGAGAAGTCGTGTGTTATTTGGTTACTGTGCTATTGCCATCTTGAAATTTAATAAATTGTTAAAGAAGACTATTTTTCTTGATAATGAGTATGTCTAATTCCTTAAATTTGATAATATATTAGAGGTATCTCTGTCTTTCAATTATGTATTGTCATTTATTTCTTTATATATACATTATTTTTCCTAATACAATGCAATAATTTATTTATCCCATGTTCTTTTGTGAACATCTGTTTCTAATACATTGTTATCAATAAGAGAGTGCTTCATTGGATTCTTAGTCACATCTGTGTATATGTACTGTTGTTGTTGTTGTTGTTGTTGTTAAGCGCTGTCAAGTCTGTTTTGACTTACAGCAACCTTGCTTATGGTTTCTGAGAAGTGGCTGGTGAGTTTTAATCACTGACACTGAGATAAAAATTGACCTTGTGGCCCAGTGCATTACCCTCAGTGCCATACCAGGACTCCTTATATGTATGAATGCTTTTTAATTCTATATGATAGATTTTTCACTGGGAAACATGAGGGAAAAAGAGTATATATAGTTTTAAATTTGGATAGATATTTTGGAATTTCCTCTCTAAATGACACTTTAGCGTGACCTAAGGATCTACTCAGATCTAAATTGAGCATAAAGAAATTCACAAAAAAAATATATGAGGTTTTTACTTCTGGAAAGGAAAATCTGTTTCGTAGATGAGCAGAAAAGTGCAGCTATTTTTGGGATGAGGAGACTGGTTCTACTTCATGGACTCACACAGATTGTTATTCAAAATTGTGTTGCTCTGTGTATTGTGCCAAATACTCATTCAATGTTAGTGACCAGAGAGCAACATGGGAACTTTTCTGAAATCTCACTTGATAGCAATGTTGTCTTTTTCACTAGTAGATCACTACTTTTGCAGACTTATGTCAAATTTCCCTTTGTAGG